GTGAGAGACCTTACTTTTGGTTTTCCCGTGGTCTTCAGGTGACTGAGATAATGCAAGTTCCAGTTGAACATGCCACTTGTGGAATGTGCCATTTTTTTGGGATGGAAATGTATTTGGGTAACACGACAAAAATGTGTATTTTAACTTATTATATATCACATATTATTGATTTACTATAAAGAAAATGTATGTAAAGCATAAATGGAAAATACTTTCACACAACAATACAATTTTTTTTTAAGGTTTTTAATCATTATATTTCATGTGTAACATTAATGAGCAGGGACTAGTGACAAACTATTTTTTCATTGTTCTAGGTAGTTATTAATGTATTTTGAATTTGCAATGTGGACATTATGAAGGACACTTTGCTTGAAACTAACATGTATTATAAAGCTGCTTTTCATGCATATTTATCTGTATAATGTGCTGGGTACAGAAATGGCACCAATTCAGCAGAATATTAAATACCTGGGATCAATGATCTTGTTAACAGCAGTCTGTGCTTTTCTCACATGGACGCTGGGAGGAGCCAAAACAGAACTACTTGAAGTTTGTTCATCAAATGTCACATAACGAAGGGCTTTGGGAAACACTGGCAAATCTCACTTGTTCTTTACCGATGTCATTTGCTATCTTGTTTGTTATTCGTTGACATTGTTCATCATCAGGAAACACACCCATAATCAATTAATCGCATGATTTCCTGGTAGAAATGAGAGAGTTCATTGTCCTCTAAATAATCATAATTGAACTGAATTGCCTTGGAGCCAAAAATTCACAACCCTAGTGCTTCCTGTGCTTGTTTGCATGAGTAACTCATCCCTTTCGCAGGATGATGTTAAGCCAAAACCCGGTGACCTAATTGAGATTTTTCGTGTGGGATACCAGCACTGGGCCATATACGTTGGAGATGGTTACGTCATCCACCTCGCCCCACCAAGTGAGAGCACTGACCATGCTCCTGCATGCTGTTACATACTTCTGTTTACTCATTCTTCATTGTAGATGTCTTGTTATCTGTGTAATTTTGTTTTCATGGCTTTTTGTCATTCTTCTCACTCTCTCCCAGGTGAGGAAGCTTGTGTTGGCTCCAACAGCATGATGTCTGTTTTGCATGACAAGGCCATTGTGAAGATGGACAAACTGAGGCATGTGGTGGGGACCAGTAAGTTCAGCATCAACAACCGTCTGGATGATAAGTATGAGCCGAGGGATGTCAGGATCATACTGAAGGATGCTCGGAGTCTGGTGGGTCAGGAGCTGCCATACTGTGTCTTCCAAGGCAACTGTGAGCATTTTGTGACAGAGCTGAAGTACGGCAAGCCGGAGTCCCGACAGGTGGGTGTCTTATTCAGTGCTTTCTGAGACAATAACACTGCTCTGTGAGTGTGTGTGTGTGTGTGTGAGAGTGTGTGTGAGTGCATGTGTGTGTATGTGTGAATGAGTGTGTGAGTGCGTGTATTTGTGAGTGTGTCTGCGTGTGTGTATGTTTGTGTGTGTGTCTGTGTGAGATTGTGTATGTTTGTGCTCTGAATGGCTTTTTTATAAGGTCAGTGTATAAGCTCAGTGATAATAGCCATACTAATATGCTACTAATATGATCAAACTTCTGGCAAATTTAATGAAAAAATTCCTTGTAAGGCTGACTGCCTATTTTAAACTAGTCAAATTCAGGGCTGGTTACAGAGCATATGCTTGTAAAGCTCTTTCTGATTCTGATATTTTAGGAATGTAAACCGTCAACTGTAGACTGAAGCCATACTTTAACTAGGAAAGATGCAGTTGGAACAATAATAATGTATTTCTCAGGTTTATTT